CTGAAAATTATGGTCCGGCCCGCCAATGGAAGAATACTATGATCAATTAAATTTTCATTGTCAAATTCAAATGAAATAAAATAAATTACAGAATGAGAGAAGAAATAAAGCATCTTCAATATACATACACGAAGAATATAACAGATTAATTTAAGAAAATTTAGAGTTTACATTTCTAATCTCTTCAATAATATTATAAAATACTTGATTAAGTCGTGTTATTGACACTGAGCATGCTACAATATCTATTGTTGTTTGCTTCCATAATGCAGGCATTTTTTTATTGTCCACTTCCATCATCCCAGATTCCGTTTTGCTGGCATTTTTTTTTCTCCAATTAGGAAAAAATGTCCGCAACCAAGAAGACACGAATATTGATATGCCTCTCTCTCTGTTCTATATAACCTGATGTTCGATGTTCAATAGATACAACTGTATTGATAACATAATGCAGTGTTGACTGTAAAACAAACAAGAGGTGACAATAAGGGAAATATTTTGGGGATAGTAGTAGTTCACGATCTGAACATTTCAACTGTTTGGAGTGCTCCCTCCCCTCTCAAAAATCAATTTTGCGGCCAAATGCATTCAGATCATATGAAATTTTTAGACTATGTTGAAACTGTAGTAGAGAGAGTATACTAAAGCTTTTAGCTCTATATCATGACGTTTTTAAGACTCATTTTAAAAAATAAGAATAAAAAAATATCTCATTTGACTATCTGAAATTTACTGTGAATCATCATTCTATAGATTTGATTTTTATTTGAAAAAGCACATGGTAAATTGCAATGCTTGATTGAGTTCTTTTTTTTTAAACTCTAACTTTTTATGTGAAGAATAAGGGTAACAAGTTCATTACTTGGAGAAGCTTTCAGAAAATGATCATCTATTTATAGAAGTGCTTTTTAAGATAATCATAAACAAGCTTAATTAAAAAAACGAAGCACTGCAGTCTCAGATACTCTTTCAAACAAATAATAAAAATAATTAGCTATACTGAGACTCCTTCAAGAGTTCTGAAATACGCCATTAGAAAAATATAAACACAGAAAAAAAAAACATGTTTTTCAAGCAGAAGATAACGAAAATCACCAAAAACTTTGGCAAAAAAAATCAGACTTCGGATTATCTCAACTTCAATTTTCCTTGATAAATATTGACTTCTTTTGAGGCTGGTCCTCAAAAGAAAAGACATTCGAACGTCTTTCTCTCCAATAATGTGTAAACTAAAATCGTTTCAAATTCAATTAAAAGTGATTTACCATTCTGAAAAATTTTTGATTTTGGCATATTCTTTAGATAGAGAGACTTCAGATCTATACTTCAAGACATCATTCAAAAGATTATTTTTTTTCATATTTGAGCAAAAAAAAATTCTGTACATGTTCAATTGAATCGTATGAAATAGTGACGATTTTCAATCAAATTTTACCACTTTTTATGAAAATTTTCTTCGAACAACATATCATTTGTATATATGTCTTTGGAATGTTCTACAAGAATAATTAGTTATCAAATGATTCCATCATATACATTATCTGAGTGAAAAATGTCTAAATGTTTCCTCTTGCAACTGCTCAAAATAACAAATTTTTAATTACGACCATTCTTGAAATATTCATTTTACTATCATTATTTCGTTTTTTATCATGCCGATATTAGCTTAAATTGAAACCGAAAATAGCAATAATGATATTTCTCCAATTCATCATAATATTAAAATAAAGCAGATATAACTTCAGTGACGAAGATATACATTTGAAATTCATTACAGGCAATGCATAAAAAGATTCTATACTAAAGGATGTTGCTCTCACATTACATATTTCAAAAAAAAACAATTTTAAATATAAGAGATGTATCGTAATACAAACCCATCATTTGCTCTTTAGGAAATAAAATCATACTAGTTATCATTGATAAGTTTAGGCAAATATTCAATTTCACTCAAGATCTAAAAAGTTGAAAATGAAAATTCTTTTTCTCCTTTCTTTAAACTACATACTATCCATTGAATTATTATGAATGATTCATCACGAATATGCGATTCATTTAATCTATTTTTATATATTATACTGCTTAAGTCTGTTGCTAAATATTCTGTGAAAAAATCCGGATGAATAGTACATTGTCTATTAATGCTTTCGCTTGTAAGTAAATCTGTACAAAACAACTCGAATGAGTATTTCACTAGGAAACATGAAAAATATACATACACATAAAATTGCTTGAGTACTCATGTTAGTAAGTCTCATAATTGTTGAATTGAGTATTTTTACTCGGAATAACATCATAAATACTTTTTCGTGTTTTATGGAATTACAATAAATTATTTATTATTTATTAGTATATTTAGAGTAACTTAAAAATGATTTACTTATCAGTATTATTTTTACTTTTTATACTCGAGAAAAAAATATTTACTAATAGTTTTCTTTTTCATTAAAATTTAATATGACACGTGGTAAATGCACGGGTTATCCGAACAAAAGGAGAGGTAAACTCTTTACGTAGAAGACATGGCGGCGGTTCATGTCATTCATTGAGTTGTTTACAAATGCTCAGTTGAATATATATTATAAACATGTCATTGTGATATATTTTGTTTTTGTGCATTTAAATGAAAAGAAATTTATTGCTAAATTTATTTTATTGTTTTTCTTCAGAGCATACTTTTCAATTAGAAAAATTGTAACTTCACCCATTCAGTTCAAGATGTAAATAATATTTATTTTTTGTTCTTAAGTTTCTAATGAAGATAAATTTTCGTCTGACCAGTTTTTTTGAAATATATGTTGAGAAAGATGAGATTTAGTTTCATGTAGTCAAATTTTCTTTCTTAGTTGAATACTTTGTGTATACTAAAATTAACCTAGAAGCCGTACGGAAGCGATTTCAAAATTTCGTTCGAAAAAAAAACTTCGCATAGATATTGGTGTTAATTTGAAACGATTCCGAACTCTGTATCTCTTTCAATGACAAAGCTACAGAGATACTCTTAAAGATCATAAATGGGACATGTATAAAATAGAAAATCGATCTAGTTTGACGTATCGTGCTGAAGTTTGTACCAAAAATATTTCTGGTTAGGACTATGTATTCTTGAAAATTTCAGACCCAATAGTCTGTTCTAACTGGTAATTTTATTGTGTGTGTAGGGAGACGGAGATGGAGGGGGAGGGGAAGCTTGAATAACAATGACATGAAAAATTCATTCTCTATCTTTTCAAAAGCATTGATATAATAATAGAAAAATATTAAAATGAATAAACATTAGAGCTTAGAACTTTTTTTATCAATAAATTCGTATTTAGTGAACTTAGTTTGAAAAATAAATAATTGATGTGAAACAGATAACATATATTTCAAAATATGATCGAAAAGCATTGCGAATACTTGTATTTGTTGTTGCTTCATTTGTTGTTATTTTATTTGTTGTTGTTTCATTTGTTGTTTCATTTGTTGTTGTTTCTTTTGTGGTTGTAACCGACGCCGTTGTCATAGCCGTAGTTGTTGTTGACTTTGTAGAGGTAGTAGTGCTTGTAACTGTAGTGATACTTACATCAGCTGGCGTAGAAACACAACCATAATAACGTTGAATTTCAAGAATATCAATTGGACTTAATTGAACTCGCTGTCCAATAAATGCACTGGCATTTTGCGTTGGTATAATCGTTACTCCACTATCATTAATAGCAAATGCATTACGTTCATAATGCATAACTGATCCATAATCATATGACGTCATTAGAGTATCAACTTGTGAATAGTTGTACTTATCAAAATTGAATACATTAGCTATGCATTGAGAGAATGAAAAACAAAACAAGTTTTTATTTTTAGAAATTACAATACAATCTAACCAGGCTGAATGTTACTCCATTGAATAGAAACATATGAATCTCGATCGGGTCGTGATTGTTCATGATAAAAGCCTTATTAGAAGAACAAAAACTAATGTATTATTATTTCATGTATATCATACCTAAGACATGTGTTAATTCGTGTTGGATAATTCCTGAAACCATACAAGTAGAATATCTTCCATGCATAAATGAAACAGGACGGTTACCAATATAATTACCCCAAGATCCAACCTAGTCAAACAAATAATAATTTTTGATAACAATTATTTTTTTACTTACTGGAGCATAACAACCAGATCCATTAAAGATTGTAATATAATATAGATCGGATGTATCTCTTGGACGAAATGATATACATTGTGTATTATTGACTTGTGTAAGATTTTCCATTGCTCTCATCATTTTAACAATAAAAATAGAGTCATTAACAGCTAGAAAATATTAATCATTATTCATATAGAACAAAAAAGTATACAAACTGATGTTTGAAGCGAATTCATAGGGTACAACACCATGTGCCCATCGTTGATATACTGATCTTATTGCTACTCCACGCTAAAATTATTAAAATATTAATATTCATTTCATTTAAATGAAATAATAAAACTTACTCCCGCCGGAGGTATTGCAAATGGTGGATGAACCATATCATCTCCGCCAAGTTCCTCTAAAAACGATAACGATGACATCATCAATATAGACATATTTATGACGTATCTACAAACCATTTCGTTCAGGATTATATACAGATTCAGTTTGTGTAGTATCACTAGACTGAATTGATGACATTTAGAATTTAAGCATATATATAGTCTATAAATTGACTTACTTGTGAAGCAGGTGCACAGTGAAGATTTAGAATACAATCAAAAAGAATTAAGACCAAATACAGGAGTAAGCGCATTACAATTGTCTACGACTATTGAATGATTGTAATGAAGGCTTCTTTAAAAAAGAATAAAAATAGAATTTTTGTTGTCTCGTTTCTTTTAATCTATTATGATAATTTTATTGGATTTGAAGACTAATTTATAGAGGCAGTCTTTCTTTTTCATTCTTTCAATTCGTTTCTGAAGCATCATGAAAGAAATGATCTTTTTGTGTACTCAAAAAGTGAGTACACTCTAGAATCGGTCAGTATGTCCGACCGTATACACGATAACTTTCGAAAGGAGAGTCAGATCATGGTGAAATTTTCTACACAGTTTAGTCTCATCAATGTCTCGGTCAAGTTCGAAGATGAAAAGGATCCG